CAACACAGGAGAGTGCCGGAACGGGCCTCAGATGCGACCTCTCTAGGAAACAGAATTTCACATATCGTTAGCACTCAGATGACGTTTATTGGCCTAAGAGCGACAGAACCGGAAGATGCCCTTGAGAAACGTGGCAGCACTTGCTTCACTACCGTTGCCTCGGCATCTCAAGAAGGCTGACTTCGTATTTGGCCACTGACTGGCCCCTGAAGATGACGCCCTTCGGCCCACTACGGTTCGACCGGGACGACGCCATCTGCCCTCAACCATAATGCCGGTGCTACCCAGCTCGGCCTGTCGCCCCTAGCGATGATGGCCACTAGGCGGCTTCACTTAACTTCTCGCCACCCCGGAAGACGGAGGCCGGCGATTGGGCGGTACCCGGAGGCTGCGAGAAGAAGGCGCTGCGGTTGGGCTGGAGATCAGGCACACAGAGTTCTCTCCATCATCAAAGGTGCAGCCTGAGTGCCAGGAATAGCCGGGATTGGAGTGAAGGGGGTATCAGCTTGACAGTGGATCCCGGGGGATCCAGACTGAGTTACGAGATGCTCGCGCCCAGGCCGCACCTCTGTGAGTAACGCTTTGCGGAGCCGAAGCTCACAAGGGGAGGAGGAGCCTCGCGCGGCATCTGGAGGAACCGCGTTGAAGGATTCTTTTCTCAAGAATCCAGTCGGGGGATCTGGCAGGAGGGAGGACTGTCAGAGTGTGCAGTGTTGGAGGCTTCCCACTCGCCCAGAGTGGAAAAGAATCGTAGAGACCAGCGGAAATGGAGCCTCTTAGGACCAGGATCCCAGCGGATCCTGGGGACTCTTAGGGCAGTCTGTAGGGACAAAGGCCTCAGCAGGCTCAGGACGTGGGAGATCTGGGGCCACCGTAATCCAGGGTCTCGCGCCAGATGCCAAGCAGGGCGCGAGAGATCCGCTGGTCGAAGTGGAGGTAGCGGGAGGGCACCCGCTCGCGGCGGCCGGCTGGGGGCGCCCTTCCGCGCCTCAAGGCTCCGGCCCGTGGGCTACAGTGAGCCGCTGGTAGATCATGAAGGGCAGGGCCCCAGGGGAGGGGCTGGCCTTCCCTCCCCCATCCCCCGCTCCCTCCTTACCCCAGGCCGCAGCCTGGGATCCCCCAGGGACCCCCCGGAGCCGCCGCTTCCCCCATGGACTTGCCCGGGGACTCCAGGTGAGAGCGCACCCCGCCCGCCTGTCTTGAGCCCGGGAGTCTGGGATCCTGGACGCCGTATCGGGAAACTACAGAGCCAGCGACAGGTTCAGGCGACCGACTATCTCTGCTTCTTTCACAGCCCGCCTTACCCGCCACATCTGTGCCGCCAGCCTCTGGCTCGAGCATTATGGGGAGCCAAGAGCCCAAAACGTCCCAGGCTGCAGCCTCTGGGGGTCCCTTCGCCCCTGGAGAAGGCCTCTCGGCGGGTCCTGGCCGTGGTGCTGGAAGATGTCATGGCTGCCCACATGGTGAGCCCTCTGAACTGAGAGACCCTCTTTTCCTGAATGCCCCTCCTCAGTACCAAAGTCAGACTTGATCCCTACTGAGAGTAACTGAGGTCCCAACACCTTATTCGCATGCACATCATTCAGACAGCATCCTTAATGCTAGAGTCCTTCGTGGCTCCCCCTTATTCCAACTTAGAACTAGACTAGGTTTCCAGTGCCCTTCTCCTACCACCAACCCTATTGAGAATCACATCCCTACAACTCAGTATGGGAAATCCTGCTTTTTTCCAGAGCCCAACATTTTTGGTAAGCAGGCTGAGGTCTTTGGCTCCTTTGAACAAAGGAGAAAAACTGAGACCCAAAATAAGGCAGTGACTCACCCAAAGTCATCCTCTCACTTCCATAGACAGCCTTGGTGAGATTACCCAGGTTCCACACCTGAAGTTCAGGACTCTAATATCTGACCCTTTGTTTCATCAAACTCTCTTCTTCTTCTTCTTTTTTTAAATTTAGCTTTATTTATTTATTAGAATTATTGATTTAATTAATTAACTAATTAATTAATTTTTTTTTTATTTGACCAACAAGAGAGAGGGAAAGTGACAAAGCAAGCCACCAGGCCCAGGACTCAAACCTAGGTTGGCCATGTGGGAGTGTCTAGTGCCTTAACCACCAAGTCACCTGCTGGTCCCTAACTTTATTTTTAATGTGACCAGAGAGGGACAGAGCAAGAGTGAGAGATAGAGAGAGGAAAAGTAAGTAAGCTACCAGGTCCATGACTTGAACCTTGATCAGTCATGTGGTAGTCCAGTGCCCTTAACCACCACACCACCTGCGAGCTCCTCAACTCTTCTTAATATCTGTCCCTTTGGTTAGTCCAGCTATCTTCTTCTTTGGGGATTTGAGCAAATTCTAGCTGTGATCTCTGTCACTATTGTGCCTAAGGGTATTATTAAGCACAGGGAAACTGTTGAATCCAACACCATTCCATCACCTTGTTTTTTTTTTTTGGAGAGAGGTTTTTGTTATAGGGCACATAAACTTGGTGGAGAGACAGAGAGTCAGAAAGTGAAAAATCTCCCCCCCCAGGGGATGTCCATGTCACAATCCCTTCTTCTCTCAAGATTTTGGGCATTCATACACATGCACCCAGTGTGAGTTTCAAGCTGCTGGGTCCAGGACTCGAACCACTCCCAACTATGTGGGAGTCTAGTGACATAACCATTACACCATGTGCTGGTCTCCATCACCTTGCTTTTGACACCTCTTCCTCTCCTAGGTCCCCTTGATGCCCAAAGAGGAAATTTCTAGCCCATGCCACCACAGCAACTGTCAGGATCCTGTCCGCAGCCAGCTGCCTGCCTTATCACCTCAGCAAGCCATGTGGTCCTCACAGGCCAGGTGAGCATGGCAGGAGGAGAGTATGCTTGGGAACACAGCTGAACCCATTCTGATCTTCCTGTTCTCTTCTAGGCCTCCCGACCCACTGCATTTGTGCCGAGAGCCCTTAAGCCGCATCCACCGGTCCTCTTCCACCCTGAGACGGCTATCTAGGACAACCCCTTCCCCAGAGGAGGGTCCTTCACAAAAGGTGGATCGGGCCCATCAGCCCACTCTGGTAGTGATGTTGGAAGACATTGCCGGTCCCAGATCCCCAACCAAGGTTTCAGAACTTAGGGTAAGGATGTCAGGGGTTCAGATGGGGATGGGTACTCCAACAGGGATAGAAGACAAGGGCAAGAGACCTGCATTTGGGGAGAATTTGTCTCAGGTCAGGGACGACAGCTATTTAGGTGGCAGACACTGCCTGAGCAAAGACTAAAAAGTCTGTGATGTGAACCCAAGCAGGTGTTTGGACACTGAGAGAGCCAGGATGTGGGGAGCTAAGGAGGCCAAAGGGAGCTTCCCTGCTTCCCCACAAACATCCCCTGTTTATATCCAGGGCTTCACGGATGAGAGCCCCAACTTCATCGTCCCAGCACAAAGGTGAGAGGGCTGGGGAAGGGATTATCAAAGGATCCAGGCAACAGCCATCATCCAGGTAGCCAGAGCTAGGGGCATCAGGATTTATGTATCCATGCCTTCCTTGTAGTACCTTCAGAAGCCTTAAGGGTCAGGGGAGGTGCTGGCTCAGGTGGGGTCTGGACCTAGAAGTTTCCCAAGCTTTTACCTTGCCCCTTCGCTCCAGAACTGAGCCCATGATGATGGTTCACCAGCCAATGCCTCCATCCGGGGACCAAGGACCCCCATTCCAGCCATCCACTCTGCCTATAGACCCTCCAGAGAGCCTAACACCTGGTAAGGACTCAAGGAGTTGGATGAGATTTGGGGGGTGGTCTGAAAAATCCTACTTGAGCTTAGATGTTTTCAGATACAGAGGGAGGAGTGGGCTTAGACCCTCCCAGGGCAGAGTTTGGTGTGTAAAGATGGGGTTTAGACTCTAGAGGCTTTGGGTTCAACCTTTAAATGCAGGACTTAGTTTTTTTTGTTGTTGTTGTTTTGTTTTGTTTTTGTTTTTTTTGAGAGGTTTTAGCTCTAGGGCGCGTGTGCTTGCCAGACAGAGGTTTTAGCTATAGAGCGCGTGTGCTCGCCAGACAGACAGAGAGACATAGAGACAGAAAGCGAGAAATCACCACCCAGGGGGGATGGCCATGCCGCCACCCCCTCTCCTCCTTTCTCCTCTCGGGATCTTGGGCATGCATGCACACGCGGCGGGCGTGAGTTTAAACCACCGGGTCTGGGACTCGAACCGCGATCAACTACATGGGTGTTGAGCAACATAGCTAACTGCTTGGTCCCAGGACTTAGTTTTTTTGAGGTGGGCTTTCTCCTCTGTGGACAAAGTTTAGTGTTTGGGAGGAAGGGTTGAGGTTACAGAGGTGTGGCTTAGATCCCTGCAGCTGAAGAATGCCCATCTGTGGCCCTCTCCTTTCCTCAGTCCCAGATCCTGCTCTGGAACCCCCATCGACTCCACCACCGTCCAGCCTCTTACGCCCCCGCCTCAGTCCCTGGGGCTTGGCCCCACTCTTCCGTTCCGTCCGCTCCAAGCTGGAGAGCTTCGCTGACATCTTCCTTACATCCAACAAAGCCCCCCAGCCCCCACCCCCATCACCCCCCATGAAGTTGGAGTTGAAGATTGCCATCTCAGAGGCTGAACAGTCCAGGGCTGCTGAGGGCACTGCTTCTGTCAGTCCCCGGCCCCCTATCCGCCAGTGGCGGGCGCCGGA